CTCATTCATCATCTAAGATAACACCATAAAGTAAAATATATCCAAAAAACCTCCCAAGTACCCTCCCAAAATAATAGAAAAATTAAAATGAGATGCTTCAGGTTAAATATTATGACTCAAAACATAAGTTTTGAAAACAAAAGGGAATAATCAGCAAAGAGGGCTTTCTTTAAAGCATGTTTTATGTGTAGCCATAAACACGGATTTCAGTACCAGTTGTTAAGGGTTGATTTACATTTGTGAATGTACTTTTGAGCATCCTCCAAAACCTGTTTCTTAGATTTAGTATTCTTTACTTTCAGTAAAAGAGTATTTGAATCTCGGTGATTATTTATTGTAATGATCGAGTGTAGCTATTCCCAACCCACGCAAGATAGACACCAAAGGAGCCAGGAGAATTCATACAGGAAATACTTGTCCATTTCAGCCTCAAATACTGCTTGTGTGGTTAATTAGCAATATGACTGTTGTAATAGTACTATTTTAAAAAGCTTTTCTTCAGCTTCTTAGGGATATTATACATGCTTATACAAATTGAAACCAGTACAGGAAGTTATCATATAGAAAGATAAAATTACTTGTAATTCTGCTCTATGGCAGGCACTATTAAGAAATACACATCTATTGGTAACAGTAATTATTAGCTAGATTTAAGTAACACATATGTCAGACAGTGTTCTGAGTATTTTTAAATATATTGAGTAACTTAATTTTCATCAATTCTGTAAGTCCTTTGTTGTTACTGTTTTACAGATGAGGAAACCATGGCACGGAATGGTTAAATCAGCCGATATAAATTGCCCTTACTTTTTCCTGTGGGTAGACTATTATTTAATATGCTTGTTATTGTGTTATATCAAAAATAAGAATATGCCTCCCCATACAATTATCTGCAGCAAATCAGACTGCCCAGGTCTCTGGTGCAGACATCCCGCCTCCACACCCAGCGAGTGTAAGAGTTTTAGATGCTGGCTGGAGCGTATTACCCTCCCCTTAAAACACTTCAATGTTCCCATCTCTCCTCGTAGCCTTTGGAGCAGCACCCCACCTCCTCACCACAGGCGGAACACCCGTGCGGCCCAGCCCTGCCTTCTTCACAGACCTCACTTCCATCAAAGCTTCCTCCTCATTCAACTGCATCGGAACCATACTGCCCTCGTTTTTGTCTCTGAAAGTGTCACATTCATTCGTGTCGCAAGGCCTTTGCTTTTGTCCTTCCCCTTTGTTGGTATCTGCACCTGGCTGTCTGCTTTGTCATTTCGTTCTTCCCAAGGATGTCACCTTATTAACGAATCTTACTCTTTCTGACTCCTCACCCAGTCTCTGTCATTGTCTTCCTGGTACTGGTTACTGTCTGAAATGGCCTGTTTTCTTCTGGTGCTGTGTCTCTACTGCACTAGAAACTTCATGAGGAAATGGACCTTCTTGTTAAGCTCCTAGACAATGTTGTCCATAGTAGACTTTCAGTAAATAGCTTAATTCATGATTGATTTATGGACACCAGAATGTTGAGATCAGTAGGTAAGGACTGCTTGGTGCACATTAAAATGTGCATGTACCTTGTCAAAAATGACATGTGCATATGGCCTTCCAAATTCTCACTGTGGTCTGAGTATCTGAACAAATGTAAGAATTGATTCAATATGGAGAAAATAAGCGTTAGCTGGTCATGGGCAGTGGTGGTAGAAACTTATATTTGGTTATGTGATGGTCTAGACATAAGTTAGTTTAATCTATAATGAATGAATTTAAGAATTGAGACAGTATATTTTTATATGAAGAATTTCTGATCACTGAAAGAGGATCAATCACTGCTTTGTTATGCCATTACTGTAAAGATGGGAGAGACAGTTTTACATATGGCTAATTCCTGGAATGACATAGTGCATTATAGATTCTTAATGAGCCCGTTTTTCTGGTGATATTTTTGACCAGCAAAAGTAATCTTTTGATAGCTCCTTATTGCTCCTCCCTACATATTCAACCCTTTTGGGGAAAACCACTATGTTTTTAATGACTGGCTAAGAAACCCCTCTCAAATGTCAAGAAAGTCAGATGAACTTTTGATTAATCTTTTCAATCTTTCACTTTTTTTTTTTGAGACAGGGTCTCGCTATGTAGTTCAGGCTGGCCTTTAAATCACTATATAGTCCAGGCTGGCCTCAAACTCACAGTGATCCTCCTGCCTCAGACTCCCCAGTGCTGGGATGACAGGCATGTGCCACCACACCCAGCCTTTTCAGTCTCTTTAGTTGGTCATTAAAACTGTTATATTTGGGACTGAAAATGGTTGCAGTTTACTTGTGTTTTCCTGAAAGAGACACTCACTTAACAGAAATACAACATTCATTCATTTCTGCTTTAGAATATCTTAACGTAGACCTGAGATACCAAGAACACCCTTTATCAGTTAATGATAAATGTTCTTTTTGTGAACAATGCTTCTTTGATTACCAAGATCAGATTTGACTAGTTTGAGTAGTTTTTCCAGGTCATCAATATTAAAATGGTTTTGAGAGGTGGAATATCATTTTATTAAAAACATTTATATATAAATTTTTAAGAAATTGGCACAGATATGACCCAATAGATGCAAGAAAAGATTTCAGGTGCCATATAATTAGCTTATCTGGAAAGAATAATTTTTTATATTTTTTTGCTTGGTTCAGATCAAGCAATGATTCTTTACTATGTATCTTAATATACATACTTTTTGTTAGGTACTGGGGGTTAAACTTAAGGATACTCTACCACTGAGCTACATCCCCAGCACTTTTCTTTTTATTTTTTGAGACAGGGCCCCAGTTGCCCAAGTGGACTTGAACTTGTGATCCTCTTGCTTTAGCCTCCCTAAGTGCTGAGGTTACATGCAAATACCACCACACTCTGGGCTATAATATACTGTCTTTAATTTGAGCATGAAACTCAATTTGAATTAAACTTGGTCCTGATGGGCTGTCCTATTTATCTTTTGTAACTGTTTCTGAAAATGCTGTCTTGGAAAGAGTCTTTTCATTATTTTTAGGCTCTTTAGTTTATTGTGACAATTATGACTCAACAGAGTGGATTTTGCTAAGGTTTCATCAATAATGCGTGAGCTAGAACTAGAACCCAGGCCTTCTTTCTAAGTCTCTGTTCCTGCTTTCGACCTCTGCATATTTGGCACTGCAGAGTGGGAAGCTTAGCGACTTGATTATTCTTGAGCAATGAATTATGACATACAGATCACTGGGTGTGCTCTGCATTTGGTAACACACTCAGTGTCTAAGAAATGAGTTCAGGATCTGTCCCCCTTCCCCCTCTCCCTCATTTTCTCTGTTGTATGATGCATAAATGTGTGTCTTAAATCTGGACCTTTGTAACCCTGAGCACATGCTGCCTTTCAGGTTCAAAGGCACATGATAAGGTATCAGCACAAAGGTTTCCAACTCGATCCACACTCTGGCTTCTGGCTTTGGTTTTCATAGTGTGTATGTTTGTGAGACAGCCGGCTGAGCTTTTGAAAAGAGTTTGTGTCCCTGGCTTTTTTCCTCTGGGTAAGGTGTTCAATGAACTGGATGGGAATTGAACCTGTAACCTTGACCTCGTTAATTTACCTTCTGTAAAACTGCCCTCTGTAAATTTGTGTTCTACTGTAATGAGATTATGGGTGTAATTTCATTCATTCAATGAACAGTACGACCACATGGCTAATGGCAGTGGAAGCACAGAGATCCATATGATAAGGCTTTTTGCCCTTAAGGGTTTAGGATATGTGCACAGGTCACTAACGCAAAGTAAAAAATAATGTTTGTGGAAGGACAGCATCAAAATGCTGAGGAATGAAAGAGAAGGGAGAATGGCTTGCCAGGAGGACATTGGGACCCTTTAAGGATGGATAGGTTTTCCATGAGTGGGAATGGGGAGAGGAAATGCCCAGTTGTGTAAATAGTGGTTGACCAGACACTTAAACAGGAATGTTGATACATGCTGGTCATAAGGCCAGACATTATGGGGAGACCATGCCAGAGAAGGTTAGCTATAGGCAAAGGGCATCCAGCATGGACAGTTGAAGATCTCTGAGCTTGAAAGTAATAGTCAACAGGCATCATTGAATTTGTCAGTCCCTGTAGAATGAATTAGAGGGAGAAGAGGCCAGAGATAGGTGAGGGCCTTATGAAGTACCAGGGCTTGAACCAAGATTACCAAGCTGGGAAGGAGCAGAGAAGTCATGTGAATTTGCAGAGCTGAAGCAAGCAGGACTTGGAAACTGATTAGCTTGAGTAGTTGAAGAAAGAATACAGGAGTCTACTTGTCTGCACTCTTGTTTGCCATGGTTTCATTTATTTTCAGGTCTGAAACTATTGAATGGAAAATTCCAAGAATAACAATATTTAAATTGCATACTGTTCTAAATGGAATGATGACATCTCCATCCTGCCTGGGTTATGCTCACTCCTTTGTCCAGTGTATCCACATGGTATACAATACCCTCCCCCCATTTGTCAGTAGCCATCTCAGTTACCAGATTAACCATTGTAGTAACTCAGTGCTTGTGCTCAGGTAACCTTTGTTTTACTTAATAATGGCTCCCAAGCACTAGAGTAGGGATGCAAAGGACATAAAGCATCAGAGGACAGATGAACTCCTGTGATATATGGCAACACTACAGGAGAAGGTGTAGTATCTAGAGGGTTTGGTGTGAAGCATTTCAGGCATCCATTGGGGTATTGGAACAAAGACAGTTGTATAGGGGTTAGTCTGGGTAATTAGCAGATTGTCACACTCTCCAGAATTTTGAAATCTGGATAAAAGAAAATAAATGCAGTTTTGAACTGGTATGTTTAAGAAGCTAAGAGAAAGGAGAATCAAGGAGGTTGTGCATATAGGAGGGGATAAGATGTATAGGAGGAGGACGAGGGAGGGATCAGTTATAGAGATTTGGAAAGTCATCACAAGAGAGCCCCTCGAAACTGAGATAGTGCATGGAATCATTAAGGGAGAGAGTGTAGGAATGAAACATGGCTAAAGGTAGAGCCCTGAAGTTAGTGATCAAGGAGAGAGATGAGAAAGAGCCTGAGAAACAGAGGAGCCATCGTAAAACAGTAGAAAACCTGAAGGCACTAGAGGCAAGTTTGCTGTTTTGTCATTGAAAGATCTTAATGAACACAAAGGAAGAAGAATTACTGTTTGTTTTGATTTGGAAAGTTTACAGATTTGTAGTTTTAATCTAGATTTCACAATGCATCTTTTTAATGTTGATTTTCTTCTTGACTTCTTAATTTGATTCAGCTATGTGCTTGTTACTCTCCAGATGCTTAAAAATGAATCACATTCCTTTACACAAGGGCTGCAGTGAGGCATGAGCAGTGAGGGGTGGGGTGGTGGTGACTGCTGTGACGATGCCAGTTATCTAGTCCCTTATTTGCTCAAGTGTTTACTGGGTGCTGAGTTAGTGTCCCTCAGCTGTGGCCACATACCTGAGAGTCAACTTCAAGGAGGGAAAAGTTAATTTAGGCTCACAGTGGCAGAGGTTTCATTCCGTTCATGGTCCTTTTGGCCCAGAGTGGAGGCAATCTATTTGCCTTCTGGTGGCCAGGAAGCAGAGGGAGAGGAAGCAAAGGGGGCCAGCCAGGCCCTGAGAGAAGAGGAGGTTTAGGGGCAGAAAGAGATCATCATAGTTTTAGATATAGTGACTGTGCAGTGTATATTGGACACCCAGATGGGAATGACAGGGGTACAGTTGTGTATATATAGGTGTGTGGTTCTGGGGAGAGGTCTGGGCTGGAGATAAACATTGTACCATCTCCAGCATATTGATGGTTTTTAAAGCCAAGATACTAGATGAAATCACCAAGAAAGTAAGTTTGGATAGAAAATGAGCAGAGTTCCAGAGACAAGCTGAGCAGCCCAAGAGCTTTTAAGCTAAGAAGCTAAGAACTAATATTGGGACAAGGACCGAGGGCCACAAAAATGTTGAATAAAAACCCTACGTATACTTCTCATTGTGAGAAAGCATTTACATTTTAATGATGATTTTACATTATACTCTAAATATTTACAAAGTTGCGGCGTTTCTCTGAAGTATACAATGTGTCAGCCCGAGTGTGGGCTGAGTTTTACCAGCTAATAAGTTGAAGAAGTCACTGGTGCTGAAATGGAATGTTTTGAATGCTATAAAGAAGTCAAAGGACACTAATAAAAATAAGAAAGAGCACTTTTCTCAGGAGGAGAAACAACTTTAGAGAACGCCGTTTCAGTCCTTGATTTAAGAAGTCATTTTCTAGTAAGGCAGTCACAGTACAGTGCCCTGAGCAGCCCAATAGTTTGTTCCTCCAGCTATTTTGGGTGAGAGGGTCATTCAGACATTTAAAATCATTTTGTGAAATACATATGATTTTACTACGTTTTAACTAATCTGAAAAACAGAAATGGCCACCATACTGAAACGAGTTTGGCCCATTGCTGTATTTTCCTGTGGGTCTTTTCGCACATGACTGCTGTTTCCCATGGAGACAGGAGCACCGACCGGGGGTGACCATAGAGGTGATGTGTATAGCTGTATTAGTTTTCTGAAGGTGTCCAGTTTGCATTTCTCAGAGCCGCTGTACATTCTGCTCGCTGTACTTCTGCTTTGTCTGGCTGTCACCTAATCATGCTTCAAAACCCAGTTCACCTGTCTTCTCTGGATGAATTTTTCAGACACCAGTACTTCTGTCCTCCTGGTGTGGGTGGCTCAACCCACAGTGTGACCTCGTATCCCCCTGTACCACAGCAGAGTTATGTACCCACTAACTCTGGGGCAGAGGCTAGAGTTTTTACATTAATCTCCTCAGTACTTTGCAGATACAGGTAAATATTCAATAAGTATGTGTGGTCTATGAACGAATAAGACAAATCCTTTACCTGCCCGGTGTACACATCAACTGTTCATGGACTGTGATTCCTTATTAGAATTTAAAACATTTTGTTTGTAACATGCCCTAAACTAACAAAGTAATGTATAAAATGTCTTGGGGAGATTTTCCTTAAAGAGAATTCAAAGAGATTGTTGCTTAGTTACTTTTGTCCCCAGTAAAAGAAAAAAAAATCATTTCCCAGAATCTTTCAGTTTCTTACCTTGAAAGATGCCTGATTTACCATATATGACTTTTTGTTTTAGTATCGAGAGTGTCCTGTCAAATTAGTAAGCAAAATGAAGTGCATCAAACATACCTATGTATGGTAGTATGGAAAAACCCAAAAGCTTGGAGGAGAAAGACTGCTGGAATCAAGCCAAGAAATGAATTTTTTTATTTAGTGGGTTGTTTTAGAAGGGGGATTTTTAAGAATCTGACATAATTGAGATATACACTGAGTCTGAGTAAAGAGTATTGGCAAGTATTGTAATAACTCTTTGATTTACAAACAGAGGGCAGCAAATACTACCATGATGGTGTGGTTCCAGATTTTTCTCAGTTCCTTCCAAGAGTGCCGATATTGGTGACTTTTTGTTCTGGATTTTTTGGGGGTGGTCTCAAAAATAGGAAAAGATGAGGAAATGGTTATGTGTGATTTTTATTGCTCAGTCCTGAGGAAGAGGTTTTGCTACACCAATCTTGATAGTATTACTCCATCTCTAAGGCTTTGTCTTCATTTTACTGAGTCACATTCCATGTGATCTTGACATGCGGAGTTCACTTTTAGATCTGGGATTATTGACTGATGTTCAGCTGAGCTGAACAGGATGTTAAATGTGCCATCCCAATGTGGTTATGGAAATCTTGATTTCTTTCCCCAGCTCTACTTTACGAAGTGTTTCTACTGGATCCTCAAGACCTTCCAAAATATGTCTGGTGTGTGGAGACGAGGCATCTGGATGTCACTATGGGGTGGTGACCTGTGGCAGCTGCAAAGTCTTCTTCAAAAGAGCAGTGGAAGGTAAATGCTCACGCGGGTGTTCCCTTGCACACTCCTTCACATGTGCCACTGACTTGCACGGTTAACCTTCCAGCCTCATGGGGAAACTCTTCAAAACTATTCTTGATGTAAGCTGTCCATAATGAACAGGCATAATGTCTTCTCCAAAAGCTACCTGGAGATTTTTCCACTGAGTGGTATTTTAGAGGCACAAGTTGAAATTGCAAGCAGAGATCAGCCAGTCAAAAGGACTCTGTGTTGTTTTTGTTCCTTGAGTTTTTCAGTGAGACTCAGAAAAATAATTCTGTCATTATAAATTTAATTTGCCTGACCTAGAACAGGATTTTTTTGTTAGACATCAAGTCTGCCTTTTCTGTGTGCGTGTGTCTGTGTGTGTGTGTGTACATGTGTAACTAAAACTTCAATACTGGGAATCCAGTCTGTGATTTAAGTTGTGTTTTTCATACAGAATAATTTCATCTAATAACTTCAGGCTCCAGGCCCTCATTTATGTCCTATCTTTATTTCTACTGAAGCTTTCCAAACAAGTACATGGAGTGAAACACCTGCCCTAGCCATACCATGTACCCTTAGGCTTGCCTGTCCTTCTGTCCAGTCGTTCTTCTTAAGTAGAAATAGCTGTTTGTCTTTTTTTTTCCTGCCCTCACTTATAAGCAACTAACATCAGATGGATTTAATGTGTTGGAAATGATGCATAAACGTGTGGTCCTTCTGCTCTTAGTGAAAGTATTGTTGAGTCTGTGACACAGGTTCACTGAGAAGTGCCACCCGAAGACCTCCTGAGGTTTATTTCTCGGGGAGGTTTTCTGAGAGATGAATTAGTGCCTCAGAGATTTAAACCACAGCAAATTGAATGTTTTGCATTTTTTTCTTTTGCCCGAGACCACAAGGTAGCTGACCAAGAAATTATTTCTTTGCCACAGCCATAGATTTTGCATTATTTAATTGATACTACATGGTTATTCATTATTTATGCTATTCATTATTTGATCATTCCCAAACATTGAATTGGTAATAGGAATTAGGTAATTAATTCTATCTCAGGATCTGGCCTCCTGGTTGCAGGTGACAAAAATTTGACACAACTGGCTTTAACACTGGGGAAGTACGTTGGCCGGCATTCTTGGTGGCATAGGCTTCACTTGGGGCAAGTCTTGGGGTGTGTGTGTGTGTGTGTGTGTGTGTGTATGCGTGTGTGTTTCCTTCAGCACTGGGGATTGAACCCAGGCATGCACCACCATGCCTGGCTAACTCAGTCCCGTTCTCTCCCTTGCTTGGCTTTATTCTCACTTTGTTCTCATGCAAGTTGTAGTGGTGCTCAGCCAGTCAACAAGCCTCCATTATTCCTAGCAGTTCCTATCCAAGTCCCTGCTGGAACCTCCTCAGACTGAGTATAGCTCCCATCCCCTTCAGTCACTGTGTGGGTACACGCAGTTCTGGCTGGGCTTGGACAACCAGAACGATCTAGACTAGAATGGGAAGAGAGGTTCCCCTGGGGAGACATGGGTTCTGTTACCAGAAGGCTGATTTTTCAGAAAGTGGGAAAAATAAATCTGTACAGTTTTTAATTCATTCTGTTTTTAAGCCCCTCCTCTTTTTTCTCTTGCCTTAGTTACATGATTGGCTCAGTAGATGACGAATAGTTGAAATTTACTCCGGGCCCCTTCCTAATGCCACGTTGCACTTTCCCGTATCAGAACTCCTCTTCCCAGCCTCCCTGATCAGTGAGCACATTAAGTGACATGTGAAAATAAAGTGCCATGGAGCAGAGCAGAGCCTCCCTACTGCCCCACCTTCGGGTCTCCTTCAGGCCAGTACCCATTAGGTACAGATTTTGACTTTCCCTTGCTTCTAGAAAAGAATTTCCCAGAAGTTCTTGCTTACTTCACATTGTTTTAAGCAGTTTCTAGTGAAGCACCTGAGGAAAGCATTGTTTCTATAGCTCAGGTAAAAATAAATGAAGAAAAGCTGAAATATCTATACATCTTTTTCCTTCTTAGAAGGCTGATAAGCAATCACTGATGGTGAAAGTTGACAGAGGTTTGTTAAGACTTTTTTTTAATATAACTTACTCCCTATTTATTTGAGGTGTGGGTTTTTTTGGTTTTTTTTTTTTTTTTTATTGGTACTGGGGATCAAACTCAGGACCTTGCATTTGCAAAGCGGGCAGCAGCACCACTGAGCTAAATCCCAAGCCCTATTTGAGAATTTGACTGTTAGTACTTATCTGCATGAAAAAAAGATGTGGATTAAAAATATAAACTTCATATAAGTAAGGAGCTATTTTATATTTGTATAGTTTGTATTGATTTATTGTTTGTTGTATTCTGAGAGAGAATACGGGAGAAATAAGGCCATGTTTGTATCAGTGCTTTGCAAATTAGCAATCTAAACCTTTTTATAATACTTTGTAGAGTTTGAAGCACACATCTCACACGATAATCAAGTCTGAGTGTTATTTTTATCCCCTTTTTCCAGATGAAGACATTTAGAATCAAAGTAAAGCAATTTACTCTGAATCATAAGGCCAAACTTAGACCAAGAATTAAATCTGAGGACTTCCATACCTACACCAATCCTAAAGTCTGAGAACTTTCAGTCTAGTAGTTTGTTCTTTCCATTTTGCAGATTCAGTGTCAAGTTTATGAAAATTCCACCCTCTGTATTAGTCTTTCCTCCCTAGTGGGTCGTAAGGAAGGAAATTAAACACTAAGAAGACATTGTTTGGGACCCGTGTGTGTGTGCACATGTGTGTGTAATACAGCCTACCTGTGTATGTGTGTTTGTGTATTTGAGTATTGCTAAGTTTGCTTTCTGATTTTCTTTGATATCCTTAAGCACCTTCTGAGATTACAGTAGTGAGAATTCCAAGTTGAGGAGAGGAGGGGAAGAACTGAGATGAGAGGATTTGGATATTACTGACAACACCAGGAGAGATCTGGGGGTGATCACTAGACAGCAGACAGGGCCTCTGAGGCACCAGCATAAGGTTTTATTTCCCGAGAATGTTACTCGGAAGCTGGATGACTTGCACAGTGCTGATGTGTGCTAGAAATTATTCTTTGTGTTCTGTTTAATGGGATGAATATATGTGCTTTCTTTGCTTCTTCAACATTTAATATAAAGACACTTAAAACTTTCTTCTAGAATTCCCTATTTGCCAATAACATCAGTTAATAGCTATATTATTATATCTTACACATGGAAGGTTATCATTTTATTTTAAAATTTGAGTCACTTATTTGCCTTAAAGGTTTTCAGGACCTTGCTTGCTTAAAAAGAAAGAAGAACAAGCCCAATACTTTTTGGGGCCGGGGGGGGGGGGCGGATACCGGGGATCGAACTCAGATCCTTCCACATGCGAGTCAGGCGGCGGAACCACTGAGCTAAATCCCCAGCCCCCAAGCATATCTACTTCTAAAAATTCGAGATGTCCCCCTTGTGGTGGAAACTGGACTGGCTGTAGACTCAGAACATCTGGTTTTCATTTCTGAAGTACTTACCAGGTGTGAGATTAAGGCAAGGTACTTAACATATATGGGCCTCAATTTCTTTGTCTACAAATGGGGAAAATAGTATTGCCCAGCCTCAACATTGCTATGAAAAAGTACATGAAGACACAAATTCAGTAAATTGCTAAGTGGCATCAACGTATGAAATCATTCTTACTCTCTAAGAACAAATGCTAATGTCCCCAGGTAATGTCTGTGCAGAGAGATGATAGGAATGACTCATTGCCTCGCTGGCTCTTCATTGCTTGGTCTTCACTTTTCTTCATTCACTCTTCTTCACTTTTCCTGTACTACGTTGTCCCCAGAGCTGCCTTTGAGATGGCAAGATTCTTCTGGACTAGTGGTTCTCACAGGGTGGACCAGAGACCGAGAGGAGCAGAGAGGGTGTAGAAGTTCCCAGTTGGCCTTTTCCAGCATCAGCTGGACTGATGAGATTTTCTTCTCTTGAAATCTCCTTATGAGCCTCTGTAGCTGATGAGGGACAGTCCTACCTTTGGGAGTCACACAGTTGAGACAAGGTTGAGAGCCACTAACCAGACTTCAGTTCCTCTGTTAGAAATCTTTGGGGCACAAAAGGATCTTGAAAGCACAACAAGCCTAGGGATATTAGGAAGTCATCAAATAAAGGCTTGAAAATGCTGAGATTCCACCTCACCCCAGAAAAAGTGGCTGCTATCAAGAAATCAACCCATAACAAATGCTGGTGGGGCTGTGGACAGAAAGGAACCCTTCTCCATTGTTGGTGGGAGTGTAGACTGGTGCAACCACTGTGGACATCAATATGGAGATACCTCAAAGAATTAGGATTAGAGGTGCCATTTGACCCAGCTATTCCCCTGTTGGGTATCTTCCCAAAAGAATTAAAAGAATCTTACCACAGCAATATATATGCACACATGTTTATAGCAGCACAGTTTGTAGTAGCTAAAATTTGGAAACAGCCCAATTACCCATTGACTGGAGACTACGTAAAGAAAATGTGTGTGTTTTAAAATAAAATGGAGTATTACTCAGCCATAAAGAATGAGAAACTAGAGATATTTATAGCTAAATGGATGCACATTGAGGCCATACTCTTAAGTGAAATAAATAGGGCACATGTGTATAAATACCTAATAGTTTCTCTGGTGTGAGAAACTGAAAGTATAAATGAGGATCACAATGTATATATAATAGATAATGTGAAATAGGAAGAAAAGGCCCAAAGGGGAAGGGGAAGTGGGAGGTGTAGGGGAAAGAAAGGAAAGTAATAAATATGAGAAAAGGAAAAAACAAAGTCTTTGTAAATAGGGAGGGTTGGAGGGGTTGAAGGGAGAGCAGGGGAATGGGGAAAAAATAAGAACCAAGATGTATCATGTAACGGTACAAGTTCCCGATGATGAGTGTCATCATATTGTATACCTAAAATGTACTAATACACTTATTGAATAAAAATAAAGTTTTGAATATGCATATAAACATGCCATTGTGGCAGAAGAACGATCACGG